TTTTTATGTAGTTAGATTTATCAGTACAAAATTATTCACTTCTGAATACTTTCAATTTGAACTTCTCTTTGTTTTTAAATGTTTATATATGTGCTTTTAAGTTTGTGGCGGCTCCATCCACCGCACATCAATCAGAATGAGGATAAATCCTTTCCGAAATTATATTTACAATTTTTCAGAAAGACTTCTGAAATGCGAGAAAACCTGTATATATATTTATATAATATGTATTTATTGATCTTTTGATCAAATATTCCGTTTCTGAGATAAGCACCTGTGGAGGTTCAGGGCATAGTTTGCAAAAACTGAAACAATCCTTTTTAGGCAGTGAAGCATTTCCTGGATTCCTTGGCTGGGCCCCCCAAAGCTTTGCAGCTAAGAGTCAGTTCTCCTGAATCTACTTTAAAGTAGCTTCTTTTAATTGTCTTCTATAATTACATGTGTCCGCTGCTCAGCTGCTCCTTAATAGGTCTGCCTGGTTTCAGTGAAAATGGCTCCTCTCTCCTCCCTCGAGACCTTTAAATAAAAGATCCCTGTATCTGCGTGTGGGGCCGGGGGATGGGAGGATGGAGCCATGAGGGACTGTTTTTTGGTTTTTTTCTGTTTTAATTTGCTGCCTGTATTTGAGTTGGGGATATAGATGGCCAACCTGAATTAATTTGATAGCTTTGTGGTGACAAAGGATAAAGGCAGGTTTGGGGTTGCTCCAGTCAGTGGTTTAGAACGGCTTAGTACGGCTTAGCAGACGGCAGGATTGCTCTGTTCTCAGAGGCCCGTGGTGTTCTGATGTATGAGGCCTCCACAGTCTCCTGAAAGCGGGCAAAAATAATAACATCCTAAGAGACCGGATCGCAGGCAGTGTTTTAAAAAAATAAGTGTAGTTATCAGATTTTGCACAGGCTCTTTTTGTTTCCATTTTTCTTTCCTTCTCTAATTTCCAGCCTTACCACCACACGCACAGACTGCTTATTATTATCGTAACATTCTTAACAAAAGTTAACACCTCTCGAGAATCCAACAGTCCTACCAAATGAAAAACCACCTAAGCTCCTGGGGGCTTTTTGGGAGTGGAAATGCTGCAGAAAATGGAGTCACCAAGATTTGATACCACAAGATATCTTAAAGGTCATCTAGTTCATTCTCCCTGTTTAGTCCTGGAATACTGGAAGCAGCTGATCGAAGACAACATTGATAAGCAGCGAAGACAGTATTGATGAGGATCACTTGGATGTTGTTAAATTCCCTTCAGCTTTTCAGGCACAACTCTTCGATGGCCAAATATTATTTCCCATGCTTTGTCAAAGTATTCCCTGTGACATCAGAGAATTACCAGTAGGGTGCCTGCACACAGGCAGGTGGGGGCAAACACTTCTTGACCACAAAACCTGGTTTACTAATGCATCCAAAAATTCCCTATGGAATATAATATTAAAAGGCTTTAAATTGAGCATATCCTTTGGCTTAAAAATTCTAATTTTAGGAATTTGTTCTAAAGAGATAAGAAGACAAGGATTTAAATTTGTATCCCCAAGGATATCTGTTGAACGTTAGGCCTATGCTTAAGAACATGGACCTTGCGGCCAGAAAGCCTGGGTTCCTGTCTTGGCTCCCCTTCTTGTTAGTTGTGTCACTTCATGTGTGTCACTCAACTTCTCTGCCTTATCTGTAAAAGGGACTGATAATTGTCCCTACCTCATAGGGTCTGTCCTGTCATGAGAAATGAATGAGTTAATAGGTAAAAGATACTTAGATGGTTTTTGGCACATAATAGAAAAATTAGACATAGCCTATGTATTTATTGATTTAATAAAACAAAATGCAGTAGCTTTTGAAGATATTCACATATTAAAAGAAAAACAATTAGGTTACATGATAACATGTTAAATATGAGTGCTGAACACTTGTACACCAAAAGGTTAACTCTAGTTATGTTTTTGGTGATGGAATTATAGACTACATTTTTTCCTCTGGATCATGGCTATTTTCTAAATTTTCTACAAAGGAAATATATAGTGTAATAAAAGTTGTCTTTCTAACCCCTGCAGAATAATAATGACAGCTAACGTTTATTGAGAGCTTACAACACATCCACTGTTTTCTAAGATAGATAGATGTCTATTCATTGTTTACAGTAACCTCATGAGGCAGCTGCTATGATTATCGTCTCCATTTCTCAGATGAGGAAACTGAGACGCAGAGAGGTGAAGTAACATGCCTTAAGTCCTCCGTCTAGTAAGCAGTAGAGAGAGGATTTGAACACGGGCTGTCTGGCTCATATTTTAGATTAGGTACTCTCTTTGTGTGATTTTAGTAACCCAAAAGGGCATTGCACTACAGTAGCCCCAACAACCCAGCTGCCTCCACTGTTTAGAGGAAACAAATTGAGTTCCTCTCCTTCCTTGTATCTTTGTTGCCAGCTGATAGATAAGTGGGGAGTTTTCAGGTCTCCGGCCTTCCTCTTAGTTATCTTGCTTAGTAAATGGGGAGAGTATACCAGATGATGTAGTAAAATTGACTTTTCTATGTATCCCTTAAAAAGAGTGCATTGACTTTACTTTGCATTAACCAAACTGGAAATAATTTATATTTTTTAAAATCATAAACTGAAATAGTTTGGAAGTAGCCTATACATTTTTCACTAGGATATTACTCAGAGTCCTGAACACGGCTGCTGGGTACCCTGAATGAGTCTTCTAATCTCCTTCAGATGTGCTGGAACGAAGTTAGAAAAGCAGAGGAACAAAGTGACCTTTGGCCACGTACATACATAAGAGTCAACATATTGAGTTCCAGTAGCAGTAAAGTGTAGAAGAAAGTTGTCCCTTCTGTTCAGAGTACATAATTACCACAGATCAAAGGCACCGTGAGGTAACAGTGAATTTTCAGCAATTGTCTATTTTGCTTTTAGAATTTCCGTTTGTATTCAGGCAGTTAAATTATAACAGGTGAGTTTTTGTGCGTCTTTTAAGGAATAGCCGTTGGGTGTTTCAGAGTAATAATTTTACATTAGAAAATAATGTCTCAAACATGGTGCAACCTGGCTGCAACCAGAAAATCTATTTTTTTAAATCGTCTGACGTTATCATTTAATCACCAGCCTGCTAATTTACCAGCAGAGAAGGCTGGCTGAATTTGGTTGTCAGGTCTAGTGTTTTCCTGGATAGCACCAATCACGACTCCTTGAGATTGTAAAATACTACAGTGTAGCCAGTAGATTACTCAGAGGCAACTAATTAAGTTCCGGGAGCTTCTAGGAGTTCATTACGTCATTAGGCAAAGTCTCTGAAATCCAGAAGGAATAGCTGGTCTCGGTCCTGATCGGTTGCCACGCTAGTCTTCCCAGAATTCTGCTGGGACTTGGGATTCACTGCTGCCGTCTGTGCTAAGGGGTCGTTCTTGATCTCTTCCCGGAAGAGGCTGAACTTCCTGAGAGGTCCTGGAAGCCATAGAAGGGATTTTTCCCTCTCTGCCATTGCCTACTGCCCCCTTTGGCAAAACTAACACAACCCATCAGTGAGACAATCTGTACACAAGTGAGTCAGTCTGGCCACATCTTGTATATGTGGCTTATCCTGGCTGTGAGGGAGATGATAGTGTACAGTTTGTTCAGGAACCTCTTCTGGAACCCACTGCCTTCCCAAGGATGCAGCATGGTATCGTAGAAGGAGCCTGGGGATTTGGTCCTGGACAGAATTCATTGCCCACAAGCCTTGGGCGAATCAGCTTCAGTTTCCTCAGTAGTAGAGTGCTGAGATTAATGTCTGCCTTACCAAGTTGTCAAGATTGACAAATACAAAAAATAGAAAGCATCTCCTACAGGGCCTGGAACCCAGTAGGTGCTCAATAAGTAGTTATGATGATGATGATAATTACCGTTCACTGCTTGTTAGAAACTCAAGCAATTTAGATCATCCATATTTTCCTCAACTCAGAAATGGGAGCTGACTCTGGATTCTAGACCAGAAGAGTCAGAAATGGTGTTGTAGGAGTTGAGAGACAAGGTCAAATAAAATTGTATACCTAGATTTATTTTCCAAAATCATATAGAATTGCATCCTTTAAGAAAAGATCCTCTTTTTCTTCTTCCCATTGTTCTCTCTTGCCTCTTCCACTCCCCTTCCCTTCCCCAGGCAACCCATGAAATATTTCCTTTATTCCTCTTTCAGAACTATGGATTTTTTGTTAAAAGTCAATTTATATTAATTATTCTACCACCTGGCATGTTTTTAATTACATACTGAACTCTAGTCTATACTCAAAATGTAATTTGATCTTTGTAAACTAAGGAGCAATCCCTCCACACACCTCCCCAAACTAAAATTTCAGATTTCGGTATAATTCACAGGTTCTGTCACTGTCCCTGCGAACCTGTTCCATTCTGTTTGGGAAGGTTCCGTTCCTGCTTTTGGTTAAGGGTCTGTTCTTTATCGAATAGCTGTAGCTGCAGTCAGAGTCAATGATCAGATAGTGCCGGTGCACACAGTTATCTGGAGCCCAGGCTTTCTTGCTGACTGTTTCTAGCTGGTTGATTATCTCCAGACCCTAACGTGCCAAATTCAAGTATGGCTAGCTGACTGCAAAAGCCTAAAGATAAACTGTTTTGGAAAAACTCCTTTCGGACTGACAAGTAAGCTTTTCATGCTGCTTAAAGTTTGGGCCAGCCAGCTCGTTGGTGTTGAGGGCGCGCCTGACGCAGGGAGAGGCGTGTGTTTCTCCCCTCGCTTGGGTCCCTGGTGGTAGTCGGCTGGAAGAACGGCGACCTTCGGAAATCAGCCTTACTGTGCTCCTAAGCTGTGTTTATGAAATGATGTCCTTGTGCTTGCGCCTTCTCTTGTCTGCTAGGAGGAAAACACCGAGAGCCTGCAAGTGCTGGAATCTCGCCACTTGCTGAGTTGCAGTTGCAAACAAGGGGCGCCAGGGCCCTGGGAAGGCAGGGAACCGGCCAGTGTGTTCTCGGGTTTCCTCTCCCTCACGCTTCTCTCTCCCCTGTTGTTTTTCAGGTAGTGAAGCTGATTTTAGCTCCTCGAGCAGCACGGGCAGCATTTCCGCTCCTGAGGTCCATATGTCTGCAGCCGGAAGCAAGCGGTCCTCTTTTTCACGCAAGTAGGCACTGTCTCCTGCTCTGTAATTAGGAAAACGCTTTACACAGGTGACTTACCTGTACTTTATGTTTCTATAGAACCACCTGGATTGTTGCCTGTTCCTATTTTTTTATTAGTGAGTGGTTTTTGTTTATTGTTTACAGTGATTTGAAATTGGTACTTCTCCCTGCTGTGGTCACATGGCTTGGCCTGTGTTTGTCTACCTGTGGCTGTCGCCATGCAGTCCTTGGCCCTGCGTCCACTCCTCCTTCTCTCCCTTCTTTCCCTCACTCACCTGAGTACTCACCTGGGTATCAAGCTAATAGTCTCCTAGTTCCCACTCATGAATCTATCGTCTCTTAGCTGCGAAGATGCTGACTTCATCCTTCCTTTCCTCTAGCTGAGCTTCTTTTTTTTTCATCTTTGTGAAAGTAGCCTAATGACGCTCTGGCCACTCCCAACATTCACTTGGGGAAGGAGGGAAAAAAGTATAAAGTTCATAGGTGTGGGCGGCCACCATGGAAAAAGGCAGTGGAGCAGAATGGCCAAGTGTCTGGGTTCTGGAGCCAGGCTGCCTTGGTTTGAATTCCAGCTCCACCCCCTACAGGCTGTGTGGCCCTAAGCAAGTTGCTTAACTTCTCTGTGCCTCAGTTTCCTCATCTCTAAAATAGGGTTATAGTCATACCCACCTCATAGCGTTTATTGTTAGGATTAAATTAGTTAATACAAGTAAAGTGCGGGGTCAGTGCTTGGAGATAGTAAGCATCAACAAATGTTTGCCATTGATGCTGTTTGCATTGGGGAAGAACAGGACTGTGGGGAAAAGGGAGCCACCGTTTACATTTGGTGGGACAGGTTGCAAGCCGCAAGATTCTCTGCTACCATCAGTGGCTTTATTTATTCATTCAACGTGTATTTATTGAGCATCTACTATGAGGCAGGTTCTGGAGATATAGCAGTAAACAAAACTCCATGAAAATTATATTCATTCTAGTACAGAAAGGACAATAATACATAAATATAATTGTTTTTAAAAACACACAGGGAAAGGAGATAGAGAGTAATGGGGTGTGTGATGTGTTTTAGATGGGCTGGTTCCAGGAGACCTGTGTGATGAGGTGAGCTCTGAGCTGGCCTGAACAAAGCGATGGAGTGGGACAAACACTTGGGGTGGATTTGTTTTTAGACTCTGGCAAGGCAACTTGCCTGTCCTGGGCCACACTGTCCAAACTTGTAAAAAGGGTGTTGGGCTCTATGATTTTTAAGATCCTTTCCTAAAGAAAAACCATTTAGTTTCTAAAAAACTAAAACTTGAATTTCTAAAACTTACATTCCTAGGACTCAGCAAGCAGATATTTCCCATTTCTCTTGGGTGAGTAGGAGGTTTGGCTGACGTTTAGAAGGAGGCCTGAGACCCCCAGTGCAGTTTTATTGTTAAAAACAAAGCTGAAGCCAGACAAACCCGTAACAAAAGAGTGAGGTCCACAGTGAAAAAGCAAAATAGTTCTATCCCCAAACACCATCTATTTTGGAAATAAAGTGCCTCTGGGATCACAGGACTTGACTATAAACATTCTCTACAGGACTGTGACCATACACTATAAATCAGATGGGGCTTGTTCTGAGAATAAACCATTTATCTAACCGATTCAAGAAATTAGCACATTCCCATGGTACAAGGTATCCAGGGAACAGAAAGGCAAAAGAAAAAAGAAATGGCCTGAAGAGCAGCCAATTTCATTAAGCATTTCAAAAGAATTTGTGTTTGTTTTTAAATTCCAAGGTAATGTCAATAATACTGAGTGACAAAGAAAATATTCTAGTCTGGAATGCATGATTTCCCTAAGAGATTAAAAATTGAAGTGTTAAATGTAAAATAGCTAAATATAATTATGTGCAAATCAGATATACGCTTAATAGATGGAAAATGGAAATTGGCAATGTTTTATCCATTTCCCTCGCTTTTTTTTTTTTTTGCCTGACCGAGGCACAGAGCACCATCAGTGGATTGCAGTGTTGGAATATCTTGGGCATTTCACGTAATCTTTGTGTTCAGCAGGACCGCGCATGGAGGACGACTCCTCTGGAAGGTCCGGGTCTCCATGACAAACTCTCTAATAGCTTGTGATCCTTTTAATTGGCTCTTTCCTCCTGTAATAAAGGAGCTTTCTCTGTGGAGAATCAGCTCCTGGGAGGAAGGCTAGCAGGAACATCTGATGAAGGGGTAGGAGAAATCAGGGACAGGTGGAGCTGGCGAGAATATTTTTGACAGATGATTTTGAAAATAAAACTTTAAAGATTTACAAATGATCTCTTCTTCTAGAAAGGCCAGATCTGCTGATATTTCCGAGGAATTCTCTTCCTTAAACTAAAAGCCTAATCTGATCAGAGGCAGACAGAAGCGAGAAGAAAAACAATGCTTGGGATGTGGAGTCAGACAGACTTGGGCTTGAGGTCAGTCTCCATCGTTTATAAGGTGCAAGACCCAGAGCTCTGAGCCTCAGTTTCCTGTTCTGGAAAATGTAGTGGTAATGGCATCTGCCTCACTGAGTTAAATGAGCTGATATCTATGAGTGCTTAACACAGTGCCCAGAACTTAGTAAAATGGTTAGTAAGCGGTTGTTTTAGTTAGTAGTGGTAAAAGTAATACAAACGGACGTGCTGCTGCTGCTGGTCTTATTGATGGTGGTAGCGGTGATGATGGTGATGATTATGATGATGAAGATCATGTAAGTTTGCTCAGGCTGCCATACCAATGTACCAAAGACTGGATGGCTTAAACAACAGAAGTTTACTTTCTCACACTTCTAGAGACAGTTAGTCCGAGATCAAGGTGTCTGCCTGATTGGCTTCTTCTGCCGTCTCTCTCCTGGGTGTGTGGGTGGCCGTCTTGTTCAACCTCTTTCTTCATATTGTCTTTTCTCTGTGCCTGTCTGTGTCCAGATTTTTCTCTTCTTGTAAAGACAGTAGTCAAATTGGATTAGGGCCTACCCTAATGGCCTCATTTTAACTTAAATACCTTTTTTAAAGCCCAAATTCCAGATACAGTCACATTCTTAGGTACTGAGGGTTGGAGCTTCAACGTATGAATTTGGGGGGACATGGTTCAGCCCATAACAGTGATCATGGTGGTGATGATGGTGATGCTGCTGCTGCTGATGGTGATAGAAATGTTACCTGAAGTAAAGGGCAATCGCTGGGGAATAGAAATTCACCTGGGCCCCCTCTGAGCTTCCCTTCTTCCCTCCTCCTTTTCTCTCACTTTCCGTCTACTGTATTCAGGTATGCGGATGGGGGCGGGGTCAGCAGAATTCTTTCTCCTCTTTGTGGCCTGCATTCTCCTTGTCCACCAGACCAAGGGACTTGGGGTGAGCTGAGGAGGATAGCCTCAGGTAGCCTGTTCAGGGCCATGACCACCATGGAATTCTGGCTTCTCCTTTGAAAATGTTTTATCCACAATGATTTTGTACCTACATATGTTAGCATTTGAACTAAACTAAATGTAAGCAACAGAACTGATATTTTTAAGCATGTAATTTATTTTTGAAAAGTTAGCTATTACAAGTAGTCTAATAACTCATTTCCTGAAATAAATTTGAACCCTTGATTGTACTTTAGTGATGTTTGATAGCTTGAAAAGTTTTTGCTTAGCAGCTTATTTGTATAGCAGCTGAATTCTTACAAACTTCTCATCTAATTTGAAGAGATAAGTGCACCACACTAAAGAAGTCGGTGGTGAATTATTCTGGTAATAACCACATACATAGCCGGTATCTAATATACCTGTGTACAAGCCTAAAACAATATATTCCATTTCTGTAAAGTAGGCGACATTCCACAGAGTTAAAAGACCTGGATTTAATCCCAGTTCAGCTGTGTGTTCTCAGACCAGTTTGTTTCCCTGAGCCTCAGTTACTGACTTCGCTGAGTACTTCACGTACTTTACGTAACGGGAAAGGGAGGTGATAACTATACCGGCTTCATAGCATGATGGTCAACATTAAGTGAAACAAGGTTCATAAGGCATCTGGAACAGGGCTCGGGTCACAGACGGTCCTCGGTGAAGGCTGACTCAGGCTGGAACTCCTTGGGTCAGAATTAGGGATAGCTCTTCACTTTCTTTCCTGACTTTTAATGGTTAATCCTCCATATTTCTCATAGTCATGTTAAGAAATAGTCAGGCCGCTTGGTGCCAGACTTAGAAATGAAGCATGGAGAAGCAAATCCAAGCCAGAATGCATGTTCTTTTCAGCTCTCATGGAGTCCTCCCCACCACTGGGCTGCTGAAGCTGGTTTGTCACAAAGCCATCAGCCCATCTGTTCCGTATAAAGTGTCCTCTTCTCACGAAAAGGAGGCAGAGGCCGTTTGGATGATTTCAAAAGAAAAGAACTTTTTAACTTTAGAATTCGATGATGTTTCATTTATGTGTGATTTACTGGGTTGACGGCTAGTTGAAATTGTGTTTGATTTTAAATAAGTATTTATGATTTTGGAGCCAAGTCTCCCCACACGCGTGCTCATATTGACATTGACACACATTTCCCATCCAGATATGTTGGTTGCATACAGCTATAATTAAAATTACAGAGAGGGGATTGTCAAAAAGCAGTACTGCTGTATGAAAGGTATCTTGTTCCCTGTTGTTTTCTTGTAATGTCTTCAAGAAGTATTCCTGACACAGAACCATTATCCTATTTAAGTAATTTCAACATTCTCAAGATGCCTCCTTACACTGGTAGGTGTCAAATCCCTGGAGCTAGATTAACAGGGAAGTCCAAACAAGTTTATCCTGTAATAATACCCTGCACTTTAATTGCCCTTAACAGCTTCTCGAATGCACTCACATGCGTTCTGGGGTTTGATTCTCTCATCAATCCTGTGAGGAAGGAGGCACATAAGGTTATTATATATCCCCAACGTTAAATGGCTTATTTGCCTAAGTCCCTAGTCAGTGGCAGTGCCAGGACCCAAACCCAGTTTGTTCATTCAGGGAGCACCTAGCATGTGCCCAGAAGTCGTGGGGATGTGAAAGAACCGCCTGTGTTCCTTCCCTCAGAATGCCCGAGTCTAGCGGGAAAGACAAACGCGTATGCAGCTGTGTGATGCGGTGTGCTAAGTCCCGGGCTGGAAGTTTGCACAGAGTATTAGGGAGCACCAAGGAGCAGCACCTACCCTGGCCTAGGGAAGGGAGAATCCAGAAAAGGCTGCTTGGAGTAGGTTCCCATCAGTCTCAAAGTCTTAGGATAGGGAGCAGAAGGAGAACATTCCAGGCAGAGAAAATTACAAATTCAAACATGTAAAGATGATGGAGAGCATGGATCGTCAGGAAACTGTAAGTGGTTTGGAATGCTGGCCGTCAGAGGGAGGAGGGTGGGATGGCAAAGGGTGGGTGGCCCCGGTGCTGGGATCGAACCTGTGAGCCATGTTAAGAAGACTGGCTTTGCAGTGCAGAGTCATTGAATGGCATTGAGGAGGGCAGTGATACTCAAATTCCATTTTAGAAAGGCCATTCCAGCCACAGGGTCAGCCTCCTTGCTAGAGGGGGCAAGACAAGAGGCCGGGGACGAAAAGGGGGCTGTTACAGCATTTCAGCTGTTAAATGATAAAGGTTGAGCTAAGTCATTGGGGATGGAAAGACAAGAAAAAAAATAGGTGGTTAAAATTATAGATTGATATATTTATGTGGGCTGTGTTTATCTGTCCTATTTTCTCCCCATTCTGTTTGGGCCACCTTTTTCTCCCCCATCCTCCAAAAGAAACGCTAATTTTCTTACTCCAACATAAACCAAACCCAAATATTTTTAAACTGACACAGGTGTACTGGAACAAAAACCACATCTTCGAAAATGAACCTAAACCAGATCAATATTTCACATGGGTTGTGTTCTTAGCAGGCAGTTGGGTTTAATCCAAAACAAGCATTATGGTCAGAAAGAATTTGAAAGAACAGCAGAGGGAGAGGTTGCCTGTGCCGATGACACAAGGAGAGAAAATACCGGGCAGGCGGGAAGAAGGCTGCTCAGAAAGACAGTTTGCACTAATAATGATTTTGCCCCTGTCAACTCTATAAATTGGATATCCTTAATAGTAAGTAGCTTTAAAAAGGAGTAAAGCATTAGCATTTGGACGCCAGTAGCCCTAAGGATTTTAATATTTTTCTTGCTTTTCTCCCAGTCGAGGTCCCCATGGGCGGAGTAATGGAACTTCATCATACAAGTCTGGCAACAGCCCACCCTCCCCCCGGGAAAAGGACCTTCTGTCCATGTTGTGCAGGAATCAGCTGAGTCCTGTGAATATCCATCCCAGTTACGCGCCTTCTTCCCCAAGTAGCAGCAACTCTGGCTCCTACAAAGGAAGTGACTGCAGCCCAATCATGAGGTGAGTGCTGGTCATCTCCCAATTCATGATTTAGCTTGTCTCACTTAGTAAGCTTTTCTTTAAAAAAAAAAGTTATGCCCCTCTTGATCCCCTGCCTTATTCTGCAGTAAGACATTTCTCTTTGCCTTTCCACACTAAGCGAATCCTTCAAGGGCTGCTGCAGGGGGAAGGCGAGCCCCAATTTCTAAGAAGGTCCAGCAGTCCAAGAGTGGATAGGGAGGAAATGGCGCAGTGGCAGGCGGAAGGTCCTCCGTGTTTCCCTCAGAACAGGGACGAAGCATTCCTGTGTTCATTCATTCATGCAGACTCCAGATGTTTACTGAGTAACCACATTGCGCCAGGGACTGTGTAAAGTGCTGGGAATAGAGCAGTGAACAGCAGAAATGGTCCCTGTGCTTCCTGCCCAGAGGAGAAGAAAGACGTTAGTCATCTAAGGACAAAAACGCATTCAGATTATGCTGCAAGTACCTGTTGCTACATGTGTCTGTAAAAGGTGGGGAGGGGGTCCAGCTCAGTCTGGAGGGATCAGAAGAGGCCTCTCTGAGGAAGTGAAATTGAAATGAGATCTGAAGGTCAAGCAAGGAATTAATTAGTCCCTAGGGGGTGAAAGGGAGCAGAAAGAAGGAACTCCACATCTAAACAGGCCACAGGGGGAGGTCTGGAGGGTTGGAAACTGGACATGGGCCATCCTGGATGGAGTGCAGGCTCAAGGGGAGCAGGGCGAGGGCAGTGGCTTGGATTGGGCCCAGAGTCGGAGAAGAAGCTGCCAGCTCTCCTCCTTCAGTCTTCTTCCTTCTGGGCGTCCTATTCTCATTAGTCAGCTCTCTTACAGGCGGGTTACCCAGCTCCTGGCCAGGCCGGAGAGGGGCCAGGATTCCAGCTAGGGGAGTTTTGTAGAACACTGGGCGCCTCTCTTGCAAAACACGCTCTGGTGAGAGTGGAGCAGCCCTTTCCCTTCAGAAGAAGGAAACTTTCCACCAAATCAGCACTCTCACGCCAAGCATTGATTTCAGAACAATTTGAACTCAGCTAATAACAATCAGGATCTTTAGGCAGGAGCGCATTGTGTGGAAAGTTAGGTCATCTCGCTCCCCCTCTTCCCTCCCGCCTGCCCCCACTCATTGTCCTGTAATGTAACAGCGTGTAACTCTGGACTGACAGGCAGGCCGGTGGACAATCGTGCTTTATTTTGTGTGCGATCATTCCTAAGCCATAGAAAATCCTCTGTCTCCACTGTCCCCACCCCCTCCACACACACCCCCCTCAATCTTCCAAGTAATGAACAGTCCTAAGATGGACAGCAATCTTACAGTCCCCCTTCCAGCATGAGGTCACATTACTGAGGTTTAAGACCCCATCACACAGCTGCCATTCCTTCTCCCACTGTTAGCTGTGCCTTAACTTTTCTTTTTCTAGAGGAAGTCACCTTTCTTTCCTTGGGTTGTTTCAGGCGGTCTGGAAGGTACATGTCCTGTGGTGAAAACCATGGTGTCAAACCCCCAAATCCAGAGCAGTATTTGACTCCCCTGCAGCAGAAAGAGGTGACGGTGAGACACCTGAAGACCAAGCTGAAGGAGTCCGAGCGCCGACTTCAGGAAAGGTGGGTCGCGTTCCTTGCCCGCTCTGGTTTAGGGCGGTTTCTTTTGCCATAAATGAAATATGAACCCTCACTACAGGAAAAGAAAAAGAAGAAACATGATTTCACATAATTTTGGTCAGATTTCTTAAATCAGTCTCTCAAAAGAGCCATTTCATAATCCTGCGTGATTTGGCTGTTTCAGGAGTTCAGGGGACCCTCTGAGGTTAGGGGGGACCCTCTGCTTTTTCTGGGTGTGTACAGCTTTGACGTGAAGAGTTGGGTTGAGTGTGTGTGTGACTATTTTTAAATCTCAAGAACACCTGCGGGAACAATCCCGTGCTTCCAGCAGCATGGGTCACACACATCTCTGTGAGAGGGTGGACGGCTGTGCGCATTGTGATTCCTGCAAGCTATTTCTGTGCTGAAGGAAGAGGTTCGTTATTCTTGGCCAAGTCTTAAGGTAAAAAACAAAACAAAACAAAACAGCTCATGCTTAAGAGATCTTATCTCAGAGAGAAAAGACCTTTGACATCCTGGGGCCGGCCGGATTTTCTGTTTGCTGGTTTTCCCCTGGAACATTTTGAGATAGACAAGCAGAGCTCTGACCGGGGTGGCTGTGAGGGTGAGTCAGACCCTACTTTCTGGAAGTCTTTGGTTTATGATTTGAGGCATCTGGGCAGGTTTGAACCGTCATGGTGGGGAGGTCTGAGAAGGCAGGGAAACTGGAGAGTATTTAAGCCTAAACTTAAAGAAACCATACTCACAATACTTCTTCACATGTGTCGGGATCCTACCTGGACTTCATGTCCACTGAGAATATGAGATTCTCTTCAGCATAGGATGGATCCAATATCATCTTAACTGAAAGGAGATAGAATAATCAACTTTTCACAAAGTCCTTGAAACATGTAGCATTTTATGATTTAAACAAATTTTTAAATTATCATTGGAATATTATCAGAACAGTTTTGCCAGGCTAAAACTTATCAGTCTACCTTCTGTCTTTGATAGGTAATTAAAAGTACAATGGAGGGGCCAGCCCTGTGGCCAAGTGGTTAAGTTCACGCGCTCTGCTTCGGTGGCCCAGGGTTCAGATCCTGGGCGTGGACATGACACCGCTCATCAGGCTATGTTGAGGCGGCATCCCACGTGCCACAACTAGAAGGACCAAAACTAAAATATACAACTACATACTGGGGGGATTTGGGGTGAAAATGTAGGAAAAAAAAAAAAAGATTGGCAACAGTTGTTAGCTCAGGTGCCAATCTTTAAAAAAAAAAAAAAAAAGTGAAATGGACTTTCCTTCCACAAACTGTAGACATGAAAGCGTAGGCTATGAATATGAAAGCAGGCTAAGAGACTAATGTGTTCTAATAGTAGAAATTCCGATGTTAAGTATTGAGTCGAGGCTAATGCTTGTATAGTACTTAGTGCAATGTCTGACTTATAGTGAGCACTCAAAAAGAAAAAAGATAGTAGCCTTTTTTAATTCTGATTCCAGTTACTGTTATTATTGTAGCTATTTTACAATTGAGGGGAGAAGTTCATGGGTAGTACCTACCAAGGAAAAAAATTTCAAAGCTGATTTAACCTCTCCGTTTCAAGTGGAAGAGCATGGCTTGGCTGTGTGTCAGAATTGCTTGCTGCCTGGTTCAACGTTGACATTTTTCTTAACCGTGCTTGTCTTCTCCCTCTAGGGAAACGGAAATTGTGGAGCTTAAGTCCCAGCTGGCCCGCATGAGAGAAGACTGGATTGAGGAAGAGTGCCATCGGGTGGAGGCCCAGCTGGCCCTCAAGGAAGCCAGGAAGGAGATTAAACAGCTCAAACAGGTCATCGAAACTATGCGGACCAACTTGGCTGATAAAGACAAAGGCATTCAGAAATATTTTGTGGACATCAACATTCAAAACAAGAAGTTGGAGTCTCTGCTTCAGAGCATGGAGATGGCGCACAATGGCTCTCGGAGGGATGAACTGTGTTTGGACTTTCCCTGTGATTCCCCGGAGAAAAGCTTAACCCTAGCCACCCCTTTTGGCAAGATGGCGGATGGGCTGTCTCTGGAAGAGCAGATCATAGAGGAAGGGGCCGACAGCGAGCTGCTGGTGGGAGACAGCATGGCCGATGGCACAGATTTGTTTGATGAAATGGTGACAGCCACCACCACAGAGGCTGGCGACCTGGAGCTTCTTCATTCCACCCCCGGGGCAAAGGTCCTTGAGATGTTCCCCATGGTGGTGGATCAGGAGGAGGGCAGTGTGGTGGTGGAGCAAGCCGTGCAGACGGATGTGGTGCCCTACAGCCCTGCAGTCTCGGAGCTCATTCAGTATGTGCTCAAGCTCCGGGACGCCTGTCCTTCGAGTTCAGCGTCCCCTGATGAGTCTGTGGCTGACTCGACAGAAAGCTTCCCGGAATCCATCTCTGCATTAGTGGTTGATTTAACTCCAAGGAATCCAAACTCTGCCATCCTTTTGTCTCCCGTGGAGACCCCATACACCACGGTGGATACGGAAGCTCATGAAAACCGCCTCATGAGAGAGCTGGATTTTGCAGTCTCCACGGAAGAAAGGTTGGATGGCATCATCCAGCTGCCTCGGGGGAGCGTCGGGAGGCAGTACTGGAGCAGCAGTTTCCTGGTGGATCTCCTGGCTGTGGCTGCCCCCGTGGTCCCTACCGTTCTGTGGGCATTCAGTACTCAGAGAGGGGGAACAGATCCCGTGTACAACATCGGAGCCTTGCTCCGGGGCTGCTGCGTGGTTGCCCTGCATTCCCTCCGCCGCACCGCCTTTCATATCAAAACCTAAATAGAAGTGGTTGTTTCCGTGTGCCAGTCTGTCCCGTGTGGCATTGTGCCAGGTGGAGAAACAGCAGATCGACCTATGGCAGTCTCTCTTCTGTCGTTTTGCTCCTCGGTATTTGATTTGCACTATATTTAGTTGAAGCCTGTTCACTGTCTAAAACCAGAGGTATCTTCAAAGGCATGGAGACCTGGTTCAAGTAAATGTCCACCAGTGTGGTATAGACAGCATGCTCATGACCCTGCCGTGTCGTCTGAGGTACCCGTTCTTATCCTAGTGGTTCAGGAAGAGAAAATGCAAGGTTTGCACTATCCAGACAGCTTCTGTAAGGCTGGCATGTTATCTCCTTGCTTTGCTTTATGCCGTTTTAAAATGTGTAATTGTTCCAGCATTCCAATGGTCTTGTGCATAGCAGGGGACTGTAACCAAAAATAAAAATGTATCTGTGTCATTGGTTTGAAGAAGTCTTGACTAGCTCTTTAGTGTCTTACTTGGGGTTGATAAGGTTTGAGTGTTTGCAGTTTTGTACTAAACGTAGCTCCAGAGTCTTAAAATGGCTTGTTCTTAAACCTGTTAATTGATGAAACTGTATGTAAGTTTACAATGTATTAACTTATTTTTTGCTTATTATATATAGTGTTTTATTGGAAATTGTTTGTAACCACGTCAGCATGGTGAAAATAAAGATTAGTGTTTCCATTTAAATAAATGTCTTATCCCCCTTAAAATAATTATCTTTGCGGTTTTGTTCCTCTATATGGTGAGAAAGACTAAATGGCTAGCAGTTCCTTCCATCGTCAATCAGTAAGAGTCTAGAAGAGCGGAATTAAGAAACGAGAAGGAGAGAACAATAATTATTAAAGATAGATGAGGATTTCCTGTTCTGTCTTTAAAAAAGCATTGTTTCTGAATAAAAGTAGCTTTGAGTGTTTGCTTTTAAGTTATGCAATATACTTGTTTGTCCATATATTTGTTCAGTAAAGATGTGTTGAATATTTTCAGGAAAGTTGGGTTGATTTTTTTTTAAGCATGTTAGGGGTGCAGAGAGGGAGAACCTGCTAGTACCATGTGCCTCCTCCCTTTGGAGTAATAGGGTGAGCGTGGGGGGCTGGGAAGGGATGAGATAACAGTTGACTGATATTGCTTCATTTCTTCCTCACACCAATCTTGTGAGGTGGGTCATTTTCTATTTTACAAATAAGGGAGCTGAGCCTCAAAGAGGTAAATTGCTCAGGATCTCATAGTTCATCTCTAGAAGCCAGGATTTCAAGTGTCTGCAAAGCAAATGCCCTTTGCTCTATGCCACACAAAGGGAAGAGACTGGAGCATATCCTAAGTTCTCACCCAGAAACTCTCCTTCCATAGCGCTTACCCTTTTACACATACAATATTTTTACTTACTCTATCTTGGTTATTGCTCATCTCCCACACTAAAATAGTAGCTCTCGGAGTGCAGGGATCTGTGTTCTGTTTTGTTCACAGATATACGTCAAGAACTTAGAATAGTGCATGGCACATAGTCAGGTTTCTAAAAAGAGCTATCAAATGAATTAATTCATACAACAAACACTGGTTGCTCATATGGCACTTCACTAGGTTGATCATCAATAGTGACAGAGACAGACAAGGTTTCTGCCCCCAGGGAGCTTACATTCTGCCTGTGAAAGACAAAGGACGTGCCTAGAAATGAAGAAGATCATTTTAGATCGTGATCAGTGCTTCCAAGGAAATAAACAAGCTGTTTTGACCAAGAGTGACAGGGATAAATGTAAGGAACCTATCTCTGAAGAAAAAATATTAGTGCTAATAGGTGAAAAAGAGCCAATCGTGAAGATACGGGGGATAAAATGTTTCAATAAGAACAAATGCAAAGGCCCTGAGGCAGAAAAGGGTTTAGCATGTTACTGGAGCATCAGGGAGGCCTGGATGGCAAGAGCAGATCAGGGCAGGGGTGGAGGGAGGCTGGAGAAGTGCACAGGAACCTAGTTCATATGGGGCCATGTAAATCATGTTTGTAAACCATGTTAGGGTGGGTTTGAATTTATTCCCAGTGAGCTGAGAGATATTAACAAGCTTTAAACAGGACAGTGATATAATCTGGTATTTAAATTTTTTTTTTTTTTTAATTCTGCTGCTGTGTACAGAATGCATTGAAGGCAGGCAGGAGTGGAAGCAGAGACCATTGTAATAGTCCAGATGAGTGATTATGACAATTGGGAGGTGGAACTGGATATAGAGATTAAGCTGTATAATTAAAAATATAACTTGAAGATAGAACTGGTGTGGTTTGCTGATAGATTGGATGTGGGGAGGGAGTGAGGTAGGGTTTAAGGAAAAGAGGGAAATTAAGGATGACTCTCACGTTTTTGACTTGAACACTTGGATCAATGGTGGTGCCATTTACTTGAGAATGGAAAGAGTTCAAGAGAAGTTCGGGAAAATAAGTTTGAGATGTCTATTAAGTATCTGTGAAATTGTCAAGTGGGTAATTGCATATATGAATGTGAAAATCACGGGATTTGTCAAGGCTAGAGTTTTAAAATTGGAGTTCTTCAGTATTTACATAGTGTTTAAAACCGTGGGATGGATGAAATCATCCAGGAAGAGTGTCAAGAAGAAAAGAAGGCCAAAGACTGAATCCTTAGGGTACTTCTACATTTAGATAGAGACAGACGATGAGTACCAACAAAACAGCCTTCGAAGAGGCAGCCCAAAGGTAGGAGGAAAACTAGGTGAATGTAGTATTATGAAAACCAAGACAGGAGAGTTATTCAAGAGTGCAGTGGCCAACTGTGTTGAAATTCTGCCAAGCTCTTGAGTAACATGAGAATAGATAACATGTCCACTGGCTTTGACAGCAAAGTCTTAGTCAAGATCGTTTTCCTGGGAGAAATGGGCATTGAAGCCAGATTGGAGTGGGTTGGAAAGTGAATGGAAGAGAGTAAAAATCAATGTGTGCAACTAATTTTTTTTTTAACTTTTGCTGTGAAAGGGCATGGGAATGTGAGTGGTAGTTATAAGGAGATATGAGTTACAAGGATTTGTTTTATTTTTCAATATTGAGAAGAGATAGAGCACGTTTGTATGCTTTTGTGATTGAGCCAGTGAAGAGAAAGAAACTGACAACCTAGGAGATAAAGGATTAATGGAAGGAGGGAAACCCTCGAGAAGATGAGAAGGGATAGGATACAGGGCACAAGGATGTACATGTGGAGAGAAGTGGCTTGTCTCTGATAAGCCATTTCTTCTGTTGGAATATACACGTACCTCAGGCACACACATGGGCACTCAAACAGCACACAGGAGAGGGATTTGGCTGAAATGGAAGAGAATCTATTTCTGGAGGTGAATAATTGGAAGTGACCCAAAATAATGAGCCAGGCTGACTCAGGTCCCTTCCTGTAGTCCAGCCCAGACCAATACCTAGATACTGTTATCTTCCTTACAATCCCTCCTTGTGTTTATTTTTAGTAGTTGCTAAATTAAAGCATTTTACTTTAAGAAAAAATGTAAGCCTGTTTTTGGTATCCCCTTGTTGCTACAGAAACAAACATAACCACACAAACTCAGCACTGTTCTTCATCAATTCAAGATGGATGGCAAGATGGGCTCTGGTGAAGAATCCTCCACGAACCACAAATATTTATGTTCATTATCAAATTGGAGGCAGCTGATCACAAATAGCAAATTGGTTTGTTGTCTTAATGACCTGTATCCTTCTTTACATAAACCAAGATTCAAAGAAAGTAACACATTCGAAACATTGGACAATGCATATACCATCCACACTGGAACACTGGAACGAATTTGCACGAAGGTAACACAGGAGATCCTGGAGCAGTTATTCTGTTTTTCTTCTCCCTCCTCCTCCTCCACACCCTGCCCCATCCTCCTCCAGGGTTTCAGTACATAGACTCTGTGGAAAATTACTGCTTTTATTCAGATCAAAGTCTCTCGCAAATGAGTCCCTTGGAGTAAATAAAAGACGGAACATAGCTTGCCTTTCGGAAGCCCGAGGCGTTGGCTAGTTTTGTGGACAGGATGATCCGATCCCGTAGAAAGAAGCGCTGAAAATTGCTTTCAGTAATTTGAGTGATGTACAAACAGGCAGGAAAATGGAAAAAGAAGAACAATTCCACTCTATTGAACAAATTGCTGTCCCATCAAAGCAAATGTTAAACATTTCCTACAGTTACATGTGCAAACATTCCAATTTATAAGACGAGATTTTTCCCAAAGGGATATGCTGACCTTTCCAACTTGAGCTGTTCAGAAAGAAGAAAAAAAAAATGCAGTGCACTCAGATGCCAAGCGTTTCTGACATTTGTGGCAGGAGAAAAAGGAAGTCTGTGATTTGCATTGAACATGGGCCCTGCCTAAGTAGTGGTTGGGTCTGATATGTTTTTCTCTAGAGGACTTTTCATTTTCAAAGGTTTGGGGTAGTTTCCGACTTCCATTTTGGCTCAGTGAGCTCTTCTACAAAACTGCCAGTCTTATCTGGCAAAATGTGTGTTATGAAGCACATTGAAAATAGCAGTTTAAAATTAAATTAAAAATAACAATTTCTAGCAATAAAATCTTGAAAGAATATCAACAAACTCCCAACTGTCCCGAACAAAAACAATTAGAAAGTCCAAATAATATAAAACAGGTTTATATCAGGTAACTTTCAAACCACCCTAAGACACACTCTTCCGTGACTGCTGATTCTCCCACAACCACCATGACTGTGGTAACCAATGGTTATAACAATGATTTCAAAGAATCTTAAAATTAAAAAAGGTTTCAATGCTACTAAGAAGAGTTTGTGTTAAAAGATTAGAATATTTCAATAGCATTTAAGTTCTGTAAAAGTGTCTCTCTTTTAAAAAAACGTTTTCAACATAAAAAACTCAACACACAAATCACAAAAAAGTGAAGGTTTTGGAACAAGGGCACCAGGCCCGGAGTCCTGTCGTTTGCCTCCTCTCATTCTCTGCAGTGGTCCCAGTATCACCTCTGAGCACAGCTTGAAAAACACTTCACTATGTACCCAGTTCTTTGAGAACGGCCAGTTCATGTAAGGTCTCCTGTGTGGTAACTCTCCGTTCATTGGAGTGGTACTCTGGGTAGTGCTGGAGGACTCAGTCCTTCACAGTCCTAAACAAATGAATGTTTAGTGGAGTTGTTTTCCAACCTTTTCTCACAAAACTTTGCTAGTGCTTTGTTGGTTTAACTGTGAAGAGGATCTCTCACTTCAAGCACAGAGGCTATGGAAGCATCTGGGACTACGATGATGTAAATGATGACGTAAACCCCACAGTCCGGGCTCCCCCAGTGAATGCTACGAAAGGCAGGCATCAGAGCTGCCTGTTTCTCGTGGCCCTGGAGTTCCTTCCCATGGCGATCTTATCTGACCCACCTTCAGGAATATTTTCAGTCTTGTTCCCTGAAAGTGTCATTTCTCATCAAAGCTATTTGAATAACTTTGAAAAATTAAATTTTTGCTAGACTAGAGCTGTAATGGACTATAATATGAAAAACTGCTAACAACTAGATTATTTCTCTAATTTGATGGTGCGGTAAGAACCTCCCTCCGCTTCCTTGTGATCAAATAGCTCACAGTGTTTGAAATGGTTTGCCAGCCTCACTTGCTACAGCAAACAATAGGTGTCGGCATTTTAAACTGACCTTTAATTCTTCTGAACCAGCACATTATTTCTGGCTTGTTGGTTGTATAGAGGAAACGAAAAACAAAAGCAGCCTTAATAATTTTCACATCTGTCACTGAAAGTGGTACATGGAAAACGCTTGTTAAAATGATCACCCATGTCCTACCTTCCTCCATAATGTTTCCTCCTAATCAAGACAGACAGGCAATGAAGAGGTTCAGACCACTGCAAAGATTCAAAAAGGAGTAAAAAGCACTTGTATTTTTGTGCACTTGAAACTTAAATGAAG